CTCCCTAAATGTCCTTCCTACTCTACTATCTTCCCTCTCCTGAGTCTCTGTGTCTGAGGGACTAGAGGGATCAGGTGTGATAAGACAGCATAGTAAAGTTTTTCATAAAAAGCAGCAGGTAGTGTATCTATTATTTTTATATATATATATATATATATATACTACACTATACTATATATGTATATATGACTTTCCGATATTACAGAAAATCCCCTGCAAGGTTTTGTACAGAATTTTTTAAGAAACCCTCATCTGATCCTATGCTTGGACAGAATTACATAACTGTCATTACTGTAGCCAGGGGAAAAATGATGAAACCTTATTAGTGACTGTCACTCTCTTCAGTTAAAACGGAGGCAAGATGAAACATGCAAGATTTGTATGTAAATGAATGTCAGTTTTACGCACTTCTTTATTTCTGGTTGTTGTAATACAATAATGATTTAACCAGTTTCACTCTGAAAGTATTTATATTGAGTGCTTGAGGTAGTTTTTTTTTACTGGAAAAATCCCCTGGTTCGAAGTCGTGCTTCCTCTACAAATGAATTGTACTGTATCGTTCTGTTTTAGTTTACACAGTTCATGTTAGCATATCAACCGTATAGACATGAGGACTGTAACTCAAGCAAAAAAGGAAAAAAGCGAATGTCCCGAAATTTCAAACTTTTAAGAATAATATTAAGGGAAAATTTGGACATTTTGTCAGCAGGGTTTTACTGTGGCTTGACTGTGATATCTAAATCTGCATAAAAATTTACTTACTTATTTGATGATAGTGATGCAACACAACCACCATTTTTTCTTTAACTATGCAGCATACTTTTTGTATCCTTTTTTAATATAAGTGGTCAAACACCAACTAAGTAAATAGACCAGAACTCAATGTTTGTGTGTGTTGTTTGTTTTGGTTGTTTACAGGAAGTGAAAAAAACAGAAAGAAAGAGGGTGGGTTTGGATGTTGTAGCAGTTAAATCATAGAGCACTCGAGTGTTTTGAACAGAACTACAGGCGAGAAGGGGAAAGTAAACGAGTAACACTCTCCCCTTATCAACCAATGGGGCTTTTTCAGGAACCAAGGAGCTGCAGTGACTAAACTGTTGCTAAAGGTCCCTTCTGCTACTTGCATAACTACCGCATGTAAAGACCCATGACAGACAAATTTAATTGATAACAGAGCAGTGACAAAGCAACAACTGTGACACAGAGTCACCACGTTTGTAATGGTGCTTGATTGTGATATCTAAAAACTGTAAATGTTGGAAGGGAGAAAAGTAGAAAGGCACTAGTAGGAGGTCTGCTATCTTTGCTTAAACATCAGTAAACATTACAAGAAATGTCAGTGTTTGCTTACTGTGTGAATGAAGAGCATGAGGTTTGTGTTTGAACAGCAGCAAATTCCACTCCAGTAGATCCAGGGACTTAAGAACATCACCCATGAACTTCCCGCAATGAAAAAGGGTTATAACAGTGAGGTGCCCTTTCAGCAAGGCACTTAATCCTAAACTACCCCTATGGGTCCATTCAGAGGTTGTTGCTACTGTAAAAGGGAGTGGTGGTGGTGGTGGTGGTGGTGGTGGTGGTATTGATGATCTTCCAGGTATGATTGTGTATTACAGTGAATGTGAAGTTAGGCATTGCAGGAAAAGAGGCAAAAAAATCAGTCACTCTGTTGCCTGGAGAACAAAGGATCTAATCAGTTTACATTTAAAAAAGAGTTTGGGGAGGGGATAAAAAAACATCCACTGTGTGTGTCGTCCTGGAGGGGTAGAGAGAGATGTTGGTGATGACAGAGGAGGAAGGAGAATAGGAGCGAGTGCTAGAAGGAGACAAAGTGGATCAGCTGATCAGAGCCTCAGGGAAAACATGAGGTGTTTTTCTGCGTCTCTGTCCACACATCCAGACATATCTCTCTAAGTATTCGCATTTTTGTCTGAGAACTTGAAAATGAGATTATATAGAGGCTATTATTGTTGTTAATATCCAAGCATATCCCTTTGTTGTCCAACTTTCAATGGTCTGTAATACTTCTAAATATAAAGGGGTATATAAAGAGAATGGAATGGAAACACTGGGAAGGAAAGCACACATGTTGTTGTGTACAATGTACAGACAGCCAGAGCTTTTAAAAGCAAGTTGGACTTCTATTGTCAAGTCAAGCCAATGTCAGGTCAAGAGATTCACATGTTCATGTTCTTCTTTTTTAATCCTAAGGAGTGATTTGGCTATGAATATTCATCTGATTAAGTGCTTTGTGTGTTTACAGCAGATAATCATTGGGTATCAATCTGTAACATTGCAGTCACCATTCAATCTATACCCAGTGAATGAAAACCTTTACATTTGCTGTCAGATGACACTTTCCTGGGAAAATGCTTCTGACGCACAGTAGTTGCTGCATGTTGGGCTTCAGGCAGCAGCGGCTTGTTTGGAATAAATTGGAGAAAAACTGGGTAGTCAGCTTGAATTGTAGTAGTAGCCGAACAGACAAAGAAAACAGTGGCACATCTTTTCCCAGATCCCCCAAAAAAGACACCATAGCACTGGTTGAGTGACGACTGAGTTCTCAGCAGTGAGTGCTTATCATCAGTGTTGCCTTCAGGAATGAAAAATGGAGGAATTCACTCAGAAACACCCAGGACTAAAAACGATAAGAAAACCTGTCAGGAGCACAAAGAAACATGAACATGCTTGCACGTACACACACACCCACCCACACACACTTACACTTCCATATGAATGCATAAACACACAAGAGCAGAGGGACTGTGGTCTAGTCACACTGCATTGCAGCCAATCAGCTAATTAGGGCCATGGGAATAGTAGAGGGACTGTAATTTGTGGCTGTCGTCATGACTCTGGTCACAGGATGGACAGGAGTGACATTCACAGACTGACAGGGTGGGGTTGTTTGTGTGTCTGTGGGAATGAAGGGGAATGAAAGGGAACTAGTAGTGGAAAAAGGGGAGTTAGAAATTAATGGATAGAGCAAAAAAGCAAAACAGGAGGCAAGCCATCAGATAGACGGAGAGGAATGTAAACTGATGGATGAGTAGATGTGAAGTTAGTCACACATGACAGTCAGAAACATAAAGACAAGAGTTCTTAATAGTTAGTGATCATGGGATAGATGGGGGGGGTTATAGTCAGTCAAGCAGCCAGATAGGCACATTCACAGTGAGACAAAAAGTTATATGGTCACAGTATAGACATGAAAGTCTGGTATATTTCTAACCTTGCCCGCCAGAATTTCTGGTCTATTACCTTCAGGCTGTCTGTCTCACGAGGCTCATTAAAACACGGCGAGATGGCACTTTTTGTCATGAGAAGGGACACATCGATACCAATACTGGGCCGTTTTACAACTGTTATTTGGTATTTTATAGCTGCGCTATCCCTCATGCAGTTGTTTCATAGCCCATTACAGCTAAACTACCCACGATGCAGTAGTTAATCTGTATATTACAGCAGAACTCTCTCACATAAGGTTGCTCTTCTGTCTATTTCAACCGATACCAGCTATTGAGTCCCACTCCAGCAATAACAGAAAATCTTTGTCAGTCTTCCTCTTACATTGTATTTTGAAGCTGCTGTCTGATCGATGTGCGAGATTGTCCTCAATCTAACACCTCTGTGAAGTTTGCCTTTGAGAAATATAATATAATCCTTGTCTTTTCATGGCTGTTATTATATGTGTTGTATGTGGGAAAACAGGAAGGCAGATAGCACACATTTCAATCCTTTCATAGTCTTCTACCGTCCTCTCAACACAAGCACACAAACACAGTAGTCATATTTCCTCATAACTTTTTGTGGCCCATCATGAGTCTGTATATGTAAGACCTCTGTGAATACACATGACTGCCCTGAGGTCTTAGGGGGAAAAACACACAATGGTCACTTACAAAAAACAAGTTGCCAACAGTCCTTTTAATGAGAAAAATAGTTAAAAATATGTGTATATTATGTATTACTACGCAAGTAGACACAGTGGAAAAATGCAGATGAAGATTAAGAGGTTGAAGGAGTAAGAAAGCCTCCCAACCAACCAGGGAAGGGAAATGATGAAGATAAGGAGCAAGAAAATGAAGATAAGTAAAAGAGAGACAAACTGAAAGAGGAGTGGCAAGAACATACAGCTTAAAAATATTCAAACACCAACCAGTGGATTCTGTTCATTACTCTGTTGGCTTTACAGACAGACACGCTGACAGAACTGGAAGGCTGAACAACAGGCAGTGATACACACTTCTTAAAAGGTGGCGAATCGTCCAATCAATATGCGGGACACAGGCAAGATTGACGTTCACTGCTGAAACAGCAGACCGCAAACCCTTAAACAAGTGAGAAGAGGTGAATTTAGGCTGACACATAGCTAACTTGGTGCCTTATTTACATGTTCTCTTCAAGCACAAACATATGAGACAGTTTAATTAAAGGGGGAAGTCCGTTTACAGGTCTTGGGGGAGAAGACTCCATAGGAAGCTGCGCGGAATCTGAAAATTTACTCAAGTAATGTAGCTTGACGGGATCAAGTTAAATCGCTAGATTCTTCTCTTAAAATAAATAAAATAATACTGAAGAAAAGAACATAACAGGAGCGGTTAGAGTTAGAATATCTATTTTTTTCTGCTCTATCCAGCACAAAACAAATATTCAAACTACCAATCATAAAACTTTTTTTTTTTATAAAACCAAGTGGCTTACACAACGCCAAGCAGAAAAATTTTAAATTTAGTTGAAATATCGTCATTACTGACAATAAGGCTATTGACTTACTTAACATTATGCAACGGAGACAAACAAACAACAAACAAATTCCTCCTGCAACAACAGACCGCCACAAAAAGCCTATGGGGAACGAATTGTATGGCCGGAATCTGTGTGCTGTGCTGTTTTTTTTCTGCCTGGCGAGGATATTTGTGTATTTACGGTTTCCTGGAGGAAACTGTGGGCTCAGTGTATGCTCTATCCGCGTGTCAGACAGCAAGAGGGAGCGAGTGAGCAAGCATGTGAGTAAGACTGTCAGTATGCAACGTGTTGAGCAGCTGAACTCTTGTCTTGAACTCTCCCACAGAAGAGGACAACTCTCGCCAGATCTGAGACAAAAAGAGAGGCAATCCGCTTGTTTGTTCATTTAATTTGGTTCTTTTCTTCCTTTTGTTCTGGATGTTTGCTCCAAAGGATGTAATGTTGGGGGATCCCTCAGGATTTTGGACCTTTTTTAGAATTTGGATGCCATTCTTATATTCATTTCTTGCATAGAAGTGTTTCCTTGCTGGGTTTTTTTCTCCCGTCCCGTGGTATTTCCTGCTTTTATGTGTTGTTCTGATCACGTCCCTGCGTCCGGATGAGTGTGCTCCGCTGGCACCGGCTCTCTGCGCTCTGGAAGAACTGGATGTTCAACCAGGAGCCAGCAGAAGAGCAGGCCCAGATCTCAGAAGCTCCAGGGCATGAAGCAGAGCCACAGAAGAAGGATGGGAACACATTCAAGGATCACAACTCAGACTTTAAGAACTTAACACAACTTACAACCCAAAACTTGGATTATACAAACCACAAGTCAGAAATTGAGAACCAGAACTTGGAATATACAAACCTGAACTCGCTCCAAAAGCATGAACTACTAAAGCGCAGCAGCTCTGAGCCGTGCTCTCAGGTCTCTAACACCGAGGATCACTCTTACAGTTGCCCCCTCACACCTGAAAGTTGTTGGTGTGAATCCCATAGAAGCTGCTATTCTAAGGAGGGTGTTGACTGTGTATTGCAGGTGGATAACGGCAGCGAGGGGGACGACGGTTTTCTGCAGAGAGAGGGATCCCAACGGAGGTCCAGACGGCGCTTTAGGAGGGTCAACCCCAGGGGAGAGCGGGAACTCATCACAGACGGCCAAGAACCCACCGGCTACAACACGGTAGGAGTAACACCATTACTAGCAGCAGAAGAAGAAGTATTTATATGTTATCCAGTTGTAAGAGGTATTGTTGTTTCACTGTACAATGACAGTATACATATTACAGTAAACAACCTCCATAGTATGAACTTACTCTTTATGCTCCTTTTACTGAACATAAATAGCGGGGTAACTTTTATGTTTTATCAGTAATAGGCTGTTTTCAAAGGTTCTTAAAATAAATTCTTCTTCACAAGTTCTGAAACCTGCTGACATACTAGTTAGTGCCTTCAGTCTCCATAGTGACAAATGACACAAGTTAGAAAGTGTCCTCCTCCTCAAATACTACCCCTGCTATAATACTTAGTACAAATGCATGGTCTACACATGCAAATATCTGTTCAGTTTAGTCAAAGTTCAATCAAAGCAGAAATATGATGAAGACTATTTAAAAAGTACTGTTGAAAAAAACAAATACAGGTGGAAAAAGCTTTTTGACAGTTTATATTTATTGTCCAGTGGTAATGAACATTCTTGTCAAGATAAACACCCAAAACATAATGTCACCTACATTTTTGATAGAATAAAAAGGGAATTTTGTTTGGAGAATAACTAGAGGAGGATAACTAGGTCTCTCTTAAGGCCACTTGATGATGGTTTTCTTAAACAAAGTCTGTGTAAGAATAGTATTGAAACTGCATGTGTGTGAGCTTGAATTTCCCTCCCTCTGATAGGATCACTGGGGCCACCAGTGTGTCAGTTACAGTTTCAACTAATCACCAGAAACCATGCTTTGCCACACATAGTCACAAAGGCACAACACGCGCACCACACACACAGACACACAAACAACACACACACAGCACACACACACACAACACCACACACACCACACCACAGCACCCACATAACTTAACATACATACTTCAGCACTTAGCTCACATACACACTTTTCCCAGCTCATGCAAAGCTCCCTAGGCCATTACAAAGGGGCTTAATGGAGAGCTTAAAGTGTCCTCTGTCGACCCTGTGTGCCTCTGTAGTCTCTTGGTGATTGTTCCACTTTTTTAGATTACATTTAGTAACCTTCAGTGTCGTCGAATCCCACCACATTCTCTTTTGTGATTGCGTTTATTTTGTAAAGGCTAACCAGTCCGATGTGCTAGCGCAGCACTGCTCCAAAGAAGCAGGACAAAAACAAGTGCAGCAGTGGAATGAATGTCCTGGAAATACTGAGAATTACATGAGTCCTGCATTAAATTTAGGCAAGAATGTAAGGCAGGATGATCTAATCTCTAATACAAGTGATCATAGTGCTGTAACATGTATTATACTCTTGTGATTGTTAAGTGACTGAATGGGGCCTTTGACATGCTCACTTTTCTTTTATTAAATAAGAATATAGATTAGAAGAATATGATATGCTTGCCTGTACCCATTTTACTCTGACCACACACAGACATCCAGAGTTTGCACACTGTCCCATTACGACTCTTCTGTTTATTTCTCTTCTCTTTTCATGTTTCTGCTGATGTTCATTGTCTTCAGGATTATGTCAACAACCAGGTAGGACAACATTTAGGTCTATCTCTGCTCCATCCTTTTTGGAGCATTTCCTCATCCATCTGGGTTTTTCTGTTGGTGTGTCTGTGTGTGTGTGCATGAATGTGTATGTGAGCCACTGCTGGTACGGGCACCTGTTATTTAGAAACAGGCAGTGTTTGGAAAAGCGGGTAATTTTGAGGCCGCCGAACACATGCACATGACACTGTGGGTGGCAGATAGGAAGGGGGCTAACTGTGGAATAAACAGATGCATACTGGGAACAACAACAATCGACTGGGTAACAAATGGAGGTTGAGGCATTTCGTTTTGACATCTCAACCTGACAGGACGGAGACAGGTTTGAGAAAACTCTCGACAGCGTCATTTTTAGGTTTTTCATCAGATTTGGGTCAGAACATTTATCATTTCCCTGAAAGGGAAAGGGAAAACGTGATTTGTTTTGTGAATTGATGATTTGTGAGAACTGCAATCTCTTTGACCATCTAGTGTAGTAGTCTAGTCTACAGTGTTGGTGGTTAGGTGATACATAGTGCCAATAGTTGATTTCCCCACATTGTCTGTGGTAGCAGAGAGAGCCATCCCAAATCCCCTAATCTATCCCAATCTGATAAGTCAAATTGAATCATACATCATTATACAAGTACAGTGTAAAGGTCATGGTCCAATAGAAGTAATGTACAAAATGTTGTACTAGCATGTGCAAAAATCAAAAGAATGGACAAAAAAGCTATGAATTGAGATTTCTTTTCTCAAATGTGACAAATAAATAAACATCCACATCATTCTAGTTTTAGAGCCCGCATGCTGAGATAATAACAAAATAAAACAATCATGAGAAATTGCTGAATTAGAGTTCAGGTTGTGCAGAGAGAGAATGTTCACGTTCAAGTGTTTGCTGCTGTGGAGTGAAGGTACATTTGTTCTCTAAAATGCTATAAGAAGTTATTGATTTAAAGATTGATTGATCATTCAGTCAATTAAACACATCCCCTCTCTCTGTAATTTATAAACCAACAGGGGAAATAACTGTTTACAGCAGCTAAATACATTTAAAAGGTCATATAAACAAAAATGTACAAGACAGTGAATGGGATTTTTCTTCTTTTCCAATGTAGCTTAGGGGGTTGCCCATTTGTGATGATATAGTGGTAATTAGTGGATGTTACACGGGCTATAAAGGTATACTGTTAACACACACACAAACACACACATGCTTAGAGAGAGCTGTTTTTCTGGCAGTGCATCAGAGAATGTTGTTTAGAGGCCTTATTAACCCATAATGACATCAGTAATCCATTATCACTAGTGTGCACGAGTGTCTGGTGTCTCTCTGCCTCTCTAAATGGCTCACCCTAGAGTGAATTAAGTTTCTAAAGCTATGAATTGAGAGGGGTCCATAAAATGGTGCAGGAATAGGAAGAAAAGGTAGCATCTTATGTATCTTGAGCAAAGAACAAAGGACAATAGAGATTCTACTGACAAATCACACCCATGAGAAGGCTTACTGGAAGTATTTGTCTTAATATTCAGAGACATAGAAAGACAAACTGCTGATAAGGTCAAGATTATTTTTAATATTTTATTTTACTTTTATTCTTTCTGATGACTCTGTGACTGATCCCCATTGATCCGGAAACCCGATTCCTCTTCCAGCAGGGTGACAGACAGAAGATCGTGTGCATTCTCTCACTACCATAATAGACCAGTGGGATTCACTAATGACTCAGACTCATACCACACACACCCATACGTGCACGCTGCACAGACAGACAGACAAAGACCAACACACACGTGCACACAGAGAAAGGCACTTCATTAAGACATCCGATGCCTCACTGGGTTACGGTCTTTCTCTCACTGGACAAGCCCAGATAGATGGATGAACCCATCACCTCATTTGCCTGCAGGGGTAACCTGCTGTAAGGGCTTTTACAGCCAGGTTACTCCGTGGCACCCCAGGATCATTAATTTAACATGATGCATGTTCAGCCATCTGCACAGGATGATTCAGTATGCACAACACTAGAATAAAATCAGCCAAGAGTGATGTTATGCTGTCTTAGTGATCCAAGTTGTGCTAAATTCAGAGTTTAATACACTGGCATATCAGAGACAAGCCAGTAACACACTACGTGCCCTCTGAAAATAGACACACAGATGTTTACACACTGTGAAGGCCTTTATGTTGCAAGTAGCTAGAATTGTCTTGAGCATGCTTGTGGAAACGTTCAATGCATGAAGCCGCATCCTCTCTGCTGTTTTGAAGCAATCGAGTGTCAGTACACACCGGAAAACACGTCTCTTGCTAACCACAGGGTTAGCTAGCTTCCTGTGTTACAAGGCAAAAAGTCTGACACACTTAAACATTTGTTTGTCGTCTCTGGCTAACCTGGGAGACACGTGAGTTAAGAGTGCATATCTACTTTAATAGTGTAAAAACATCAGCCACCAACGAACTTGTAATGAAATTCGTTTAGGCAATCCTTTAGGGGGAGGTTGGTGAAAGCCACTCTGGGTAAGATTTGTCTCTCTTTACTCTAGACATGCCCACCTTGCCCACATAGGTTGTGTGTGATATGTTTAGTCACTGATTGGAAATCTCTGCACACAGGAAGCAACAAATCACATCTTCACACCAAACTTGTTCCTAAAGTGCCCCACAGACAGTTGAGCTCAACCACTGACGGTTATTTATCCTTAAAACGATGATATTAATTACCCGTGTTTCCACCTTCTTCTTAATTCTTCTTAGTACATCTAAGTTAAGTAAGTTATTTTAATTTAAACAGTATGTTACCAAAGTAAACAGATTAATGCACACAGATGCAATGCAATTACACAGAGTTATGTAACACTGTAAAACAGGGGCTAGAGTGGTAAGTTTGTACTCAAAACCTGGTGTCACACAGGTAGCAGCACCACTAGCAGAGAAAACAGCTGAAGCCCCTCTATTTCTACTCTGTATAGACCTCTATACCAGTTTATTTTTAGGGAGTCGTCAGCAATAACCTTCACCTGATGATGCTGTTTTTGGTGGTATCATATTAGCTCAATTTGATGAGCTTGTGCTCGTCATGCAGTGACATTACTCAAGTTACTCTCACGTCACTGCTTACAATCTGGTTAGTTCTAAGGTTGCGTTCATCGTCCAATGGGCCAGTCATAGGTGTGACTCATTGCTTGCTTTGTCATAACAGTGTCAACCTGTTGTGAAAAGTAATAGCAAAAATAGAGCAAAAATAACTGCATCATCTTTCAACCTCCCCTCAGGTTTGAGGGTCATTGGGATGGGCTGATGGGAAGATGCACTTGCTTTGTTGCTGTTTTTGATCAGATAATTCTGGTAAATATTACTTGGCTTGGAAAGTTTGTCTCTACTGGCCACTTTGGCAGCTAAAATTGGTTGTTCAAAGCCTTCGTATGTTAAAAAAAAATCTGTTAAACAGTAAACATGTCTGGGAAATCTGTGGATCACCATCTACTGCTGTGGTTTGTTGGAAAAGTCAAATTCCTGTGTTGATTGTGTTTGAATGAGCTCACTGGTGTTGGTCACTTTTTTTTTTCTTGGCATCATGTAATGATGAAGTTATTAACATACCGTAATATCCCGGGCTTCATTTTAATTGTGTATGTGTGAGTGCATGTTTTTGAAAATCTGTGTGTTGGTAAAACGGCACGTGTTGCATATGTGACTATTTCTCAGAGTTTGGGTGTGTCTGGCTTTTTAGGACTGCTTTTTTGTAGTACTTTTCAGCTGTGTGTTTTAAATGTGGATACTGTACATGCGGTATAGGTTTTATGTACTTCTGTTGTGCTGTTCATCTTACCTGTGCTTTGGCAGAGCCTAAATATTCTGGGCTGCTTATGTTTTAAAGCCCCTTGCTGCTTTAATGCATCCAGTCCGTTCCAGAGCTCATCTGGTCTCATTCTATCAGAATGCAGGTGGGGCCAGCTAAACCCCAAGGGCCTCGAGCCAGCTCTGCCACTGCTAGACCAAGCAGGGCCCCAGGGAGAGATAGGGAGCCAGGAAGAAGGGGGGGAGGAGAAGAATAAGAAAGACCATGAGAAAAAAAATACTCAGAAAATGGTGCAACTGTGGGCTGCATTAGTATCGCTATAATTATTACCCTTATTGTGTTATTGGATATTTGACCATGATAATTATAGTTCCTTGTTTTATTGATGCACATTATGTCAAGTAAATTATATTTATGTTTCAATTGTATCAATGTCTATATCATATCAACTTATGTACTTGTTGACCTGCTGTAATTGCAACAGGACTGGGTAGTTATTATAGTTGCTGTCAGTAATTGAAATTAATGTTATAATTTCACAAGAAACATGAGTAAGCAGGATAATTACAAAAGGTTTTTAACCGAAACGCACAGTGATGAGGAAATATATCAGGAAGCTATGGTGTCATGGCCTAGAAAGTAATTGGTATTCAATAGCAGCAGTATTCAGCTGTTACAGTGAAGTTGACAACTAACTTATTCCAACTTTTTTGTACCCCGTCTTCAGTAGACAAAAAAGTTTTCACAGCTGGCTGAGGTGGAAAAGTTAATCTATTGATTAAGGCAAAATTTAACAAAATGCAATACAAATAGAAGCATGTGACTTAAACAGTCAATCAGATCCGTGTGGACAGGATGGAAATGCGCTTTACTGCATTTTCTTGACGATTTTCTGGAAATTCTGTTAAGGTCTGGATGGAAACTTTACCTTTGATTTCCATACAGTAAGTTTTTTTTATTCTTCTTTTTGTCAACTAGTAAAACATTAAAACCCTCAAAAGCTATCTTAAAGTACTAGCAGCTTTCAGGTGACTCAGCAGCCACAGAAAGAAAACCATGACTTGGCAAAGCCATCCTCTACCCTAAAAATCGAAGGGGAGAGGATGGAGAGAATGGGAAGCAAACTTTATGCAAAAAGTAACACGGTAGAATAGGTCTGCAAATGGAAAGAAATTAAATGTGTCTTTGACCATATTGAAGAAA